GGCCCCGCCACCGCAGTTCGAGAAGACAGCCGCCAAGGGAGCAAGCTCGGTGTTCGGGCTCTTCTGGGATGCTGTGGCGAAGGTTCAAAATGGTAGAGAAGCCAGCCGCCAAGGGAGCAAGCTCGGTGTTCGGGTTCTTCTGGGATGCTGTGGCGAAGGTTCAAAATGGTAGCTTTTGGTGATTGGATGATACTATGTTTGCTTGCTTGAATAAAAAAAAATTAGCTTTTTGAAATTTGTAAATTTTTTGGCGGATTCTGTGGCAGCTCACTCGAGCTTGGATGAGTATTTAGCGGATTGGTTGGGGCTGAACCAGTCGAAGTACCAGTGGGCGCTCAATGATTACTATGAGAACAATGGATCGGTGAGTGAGTTTGTTACCGTAAATTTCTTTTTTTTGTTTTTGAAGTAGTTATAGTGTTTATGAGGATCTGCAGGCTATAAAATTTCAGTATTTTCTAAAAGTTGGTCTTTTTTATAGTAGATGGGGTTGTGATCTGTTAGATTTACATATTGATTTTGGTATTTTCTGCGTCATTGGTTATAAGATCTGTGTTTAATCTACTAAAAGAGAAGAATTCAGCTGCTGGATTTATAATTTTTTTCATATATGGGAACTTAGATGAATTGATGTGCGTCTGAAGGCTCTCATGCTGTAGCTGATTTAACTTTGAATTAACTTCTCTGTGCTTGGAAGTTCATTATATGTAATTTCAATTTTTGTCTCTTATTCTTGTTAAATTTCAATTTTTGTCTTGTGTTCTGAAGAAATTCGAGTTATTATCATTCTGTTTTAATTCAGGTTTCCTGCTTCAAGTTAGGATGCTAAAAACTCGCTCTATTGAGCTTCAATTACTATGCTTTCTTCTGTTTTTAAACTTTTCATAATCATGGAGTTACTCCACTGCTTTAAATTGAGGCTTGATTTCTTCCATTCAAATTATATAATTTATATCCAACAGAACATTTGAAGATTCTTCCTTGGTCTCTAAAGGGTTAAATATAAGGGAAAATTACTACTTTTCTTTTGTGCAACTTGCAAATTGGGATGCCGACAATTTTTAATTTATGGTTACCCTTTTGAAATTGTTTCATACACCTTCTTTATGCTTGTTTTATCTTATTTTTTGGACTGATGCATTTTCAAAAAGCTTGCATTTTGATAATGTTTGATCTTTGTTACTGATTTATTATCTTTAGTCAAAGTTTTTTTGTGAAAATTAATATTTTAGAAGGCAGAGGAATTGCAGGCCAACCTTGTCATTAGATCTTTTTTCTACTATCCCATGTGTTCTTGCATTTAAAATAAGGTCATTAGCATACATACCACTCAATTCCTATTTATTTACATATCTATCACCAATATTTTACTTTTTAACCTTTATACCACCCAATTCTTTTATATCACATAAAAAAGTGCCACCATTTTAACTTTTAAAAAGTGAAATGCACCTTCCTTTTCATGCATGGGTGAGGGGGAATGTATGTAAAAATTGAAGTTTAAGTGTAAGATATGTAAATGCCTTAGAATTGAGTGGTATGGTATGTATGCAAATCTTCTTTTAAAATAAAATAGGAACTTATTTTAAGATTGTAAAGGGATGTATTGATTACTCCTTTTGTGTAGATTGAGATTTAAGCATTAGATTATAGACTGTGATAGATGCAGTTTGCATAATTTATATCTTATGTAGGATTGATGATGTTCTAGTTAGGACTGAGCATTGACTCACATGGGTCCATGTTTGAGCTTTTTAATATATTTTTTTATTTTTTATTATTGGAAGATTTACATATGTACCAATGAATTGTTATATATTTACAAATCTATCTCTTAAACTTTAATTTGTACATATATGCCATCTTACGAATGCATGACAATGTGTATTTTTCCTCTTAAAAGTTAAAATGTTGGTATTTTTGATGTGATATAAAAGATTTGGGTCGTTTAAATGTGAAAAAAACAAAGTTTCGGTATAAATGTTGCAATTTGCAGCATTGCATTTTGTTTATTTACTGTGATGTATTGATGTAGAGCAGAAAATTACAAGGTAAACTTAACAAATTTCAAAAAAAAAAAAAAGTATCTTGACATTGTATCTGCAAGCATTAGAAACTGACATTCATATAAAAATTCTTGCAGAGGAAGGATTGCAGCAAACTGAAGGAACAAGTCAGCAAAGACCAAACAGTGTGATTTGGTGAATGGTATGCATTCTTTTTCAACATTTTTGTCTTTTTTTCTTAGATTTTCAAATTTACAAGCTTTGGATGAACAGATTTTGCAGATGATGATTGCCAAGAAGTGTAATTTGTATAATTATTTGTTTTGGCAAAGAAGAGCTGTTCAGAGAGCTGAGGGAAAGGGGTTACTATGACTGCTGTGCTACAGCATGACAGTTCTTTTGTCTGTAGTTTTATTTATTACATGTATGCTGTATTTTCCCATTCCTCGGTTGAAATTATATGGAATAGAAGGGGGCTAAATGTAAGAACGCTGCACCTCATTTGTGCTCTCTTCTGATGTCTGGCTTATCTCGAATCAATGAAAATATTTTACATCATTTGCTGTAATATATTGTTTTAATTTATGCAATACTTGTGCTATTATGAAATTAAATGATTTGTGCTTGCATTGGTGTTGTGAAATCCGCTTCGCAAAACACCTACAAGAATTGTTCCAAAGAACTCCCTATGTATTGAGTTAGATGATTAAGAATTGATAATAAAATTGCCAAAGAAGATATGTCGAGGGGCTGTTCTTCTTGGATGGAAGAACCTGCAAACTGCTTCAAACCGAAGACCCTTCCTGTTCCTTTCTTGCTCGCGGATTGTTGTTCTCCTTCGTATGCCTGTACAATACTTCTTACGGCAGTTTTAAAATCACCTCTGTGGTTCAATGGCAGTGAAACAAATGCCTGCTTCTTTTGTCTTCGCCAAATGGATAGGAGTTCACCTTGCTAACTGCCGAACTCTCCCTTTCTGCGATTCTTCTCTTTTCTTGCCGTCGACTTTACTGCAAGCCAAGGATTGGGATTGCCGAAGAACCTGCTTGTTGCTGTGTTTCGTGGATGACGAGGGAGATGACAACAGTAACCAAGCAATCTCCCTGAATCCAAGAACCTGAGCTGATATAAAAATTCTTGTTTCAAGAACTGAAAACGCAGCAAGCATGTACAAAAGAAAACCAGAAAAACAGAGGAAAGAAATGTCACAACGAATAAGAACACAAACACAAGAGGATTTACGTGGTTCGGTCCCTAGATCTACATCCACGGAGGGAATCACTATCAAATTCACTAGCACAAAGGAAGAATTATAAGCTCATTACATCGAGGAATCACCAAGATCTCTCTCTCTACAAGACCTCTCCCTCAATTTTAAAGCCTCTCCACTCCTACCTCTTCTTGCTGAATTTTCTTCCTCCTCTTGATCTTCTTGATCAAATTTTTCTCTCCTTGTGGTGATCTACCCATCTCTTAAGACCCCTCATCTATTTATAGATGGATGAGGCTTCCAAGAGGCAAGAAAAAAAATTACAATTATGCCATTTTATGTCATAATTAAGAGTTAATGAATAAAGAACAATTGGTTTTAAAGCAGCTATTTTTGTTTGGAAGGAAGATTTACATACATACCACTCAATTCTTTTGTATTGATATCTGTAACACTTGTACTTCAAGTTTTACATGTATGTGCATTTCCTATGCATGAAAAACTATATTTCCAAAAACGAAATGAATACAACTCTTTATTGATAAAAATCAAATTAAATCAAAATCAAAATAAAAAGCTATCCCAAACATCCTTCTAGTTTATTAGAATCTCAAATCTCAAATCTAAATTGAACTGATTTTTACATTAAATTCCAATAAACTCAAATCTAACATTATAAAGCAGTGGTCTTTAGAAGGAATATTTACATACTTTTTGTTCGTGAACAGCTCGTGTTCGGCTTGTTAAGCAAACGAGCCGAACACGAACACACTTTTTGAGCACGAAATATAAACGAGACGTGTTCGGCTCGTTTACACCCCTAATGAAAACAACACTTTATTGATAAAAATCAAATTAAATCAAAATAAAAATAAAAATAAAAAGCTATCCCAAACATCCTTTTCAAATTAAATCAAAATAAAAATAAAAAGCTATCCCAAACATCCTTTTAGTTTATTAGAATCTCAAATCTAAATTGAACTGATTTTTACATTAAATCCCAATACACTCAAATCTAACATTATAAAGCAGTTGATTTTAGAAGGAATATTTACATACATTGGGCTTAATTACATACATTGGGCTTAATTTTTATGTATTTGCATACATATTCTATGCACGAAAAATTAATATTTAATCTTCTTAAAACTTAAAATGGTGGTCTTTTTAATGCGGCAGGAAAGAATTGGGTGCTATTATTGTAAAAAAATAAATTTTGGTATTAGATATGTAAATACATAAGAATTGGGTGGCGTCTATTTAATTGCCCTTTTTAGATTTGATGTTCCATTTGAAGCGCATTTTCTTTTTTATTTAATTTTTAACGGTTTAGATTTCGAAATTAATCTGGCATTTTTACTAAATTTAAGTTTGTAGTAAACAAAGTAATAATGATAATTTTTATAAACTTTAAATAGTAAAGCATTTTTTCATATAATTAAAAATTAATCTGGCATTTTTACTATATTTTAATGACATTAAATCAATTAATTTAAGTTTGTAGTAAACAAAGTAATAATGATAATTTTTATAACCTTTAAATAGTAAAGCATTTTTTCATATAATTCATAGAATAATTATCTTATAAGATCAAACTAATCTTCAATACGTACACCATGTTTACATATAATATAAATTCATAAAAACTATTTTTTTTGAAAAAAATAATAAAATATTTAGATTAAAAAATTTAAGATATTTATTATCACGTGTCATAAAATTTCGGATCTGTTCATCGTTCTACCTGTATTGTTTTTTCGACTGCCACCACAATTCTGTTTGGAGATTACTTTCTTGTTTGTTTTTGGAAATTTTCGTGGTAAAAAACTCTTTATTTCAACTTAAGCTATTCAAGTGTTAGTGGCTTCAAGAAAATTGTTGTCTGACCTTTTTAAAATAAAATAAATTTGTAATAGTGATTTCAGCTTGAAAAATTTTTTTTTCTGCAGCAGCTTCACAGTTGTAACATCCCTAAACAGACCCTTCATGTTATATGATAGGGGCGTAAAAGAGTCGAACACGAGCTGAGTTCGACTCGTTTATATTTCGAGTTAAAAAAATGTGTTCGTGTTCGGCTTATTTGCTTAACGAGCCGAACACGAGTTGTTCACGAACAAAGAGTCATTTTAACAACTCTAACCTTGTGAGTTTGAGCAAGATTTAAAAATTATTATTTATA